TTTGTACAATTCTTCCCTGCCATAAAAAGCGCTTTTTTAAAAAAACGGGTCGTAAAAGTTTCTTCTATAAAAACTTGCATGTTACCTCTCCTGAGGTTTTCAGGGAAATTTTGAAAATCGAGCTCTTCACCAAAGAATTATAAAATAAATATTTTGGAAAAGAAATCACGATGAAATACAGCTTCTTGACCTCAAAATATTGGCAGTCGCATTTTTGCATATTTTTTGAAAAGTAAATACCATCTTTTCTCTGCTGACCAAAATGATATATTTTTTAAATATTGGTGGAGCTTATTAAATTTTTGCTGGAACTAAAAATTGTATACAGAGTCAGAGGGAAATTGGCTGCGTAATTGTAGGATTGTTTGCCGAAGTGTAATTGTAGGAAGGTTGATTAGTAGTTTGGTATTTGATTGGAGGATGATGGCTCTTCGAAATGTGGCAGATGCGGATTATCAATCGTGAACGTTCCATGAGCTGATAATCTAATTTTGCGGATTTTGAAATAAAAATATTTGGCGTTTCAGGTTATCAGAAATTTGGGAATTGGAAAATCTGGGAAATAGAAAAAGTATGGGAAACCTGAAAATTTTGTAAACTTAAGGTAATTTGGGAAGCTTGGAAAATTGAATAAGTATGTGAAATTTTAGAAACTTAAAAAATTTAGGAAAGCCAGAAAATTTAGGTAATTTGATAAGCTTGCAAAATTTAAGAAAGTGGAATAATTTTAGAAACTTGAAAAATTTTTTAAATTTTAAATCTTGAAAAATCTGAATAACTTAAAAAATCTTGTAAACGTGTAAATTATGGGTGATGCAAAATCTTATAAGTTTCAGAATCTGAAAATTCTAATGAATCAAAAGTTCCAAAAATTAATCCCCAAAATAGTAAACAAGTCTTCAGCACATTTTACCAAACAAAACTTGTCGATAAGACATTCGAACGATTTTAAACCTGCATCCACGATAAATTGAAGAGTAATTAATGTAACGGTACTTCGAAGAAGTTGGCGCAATTTTCATAAAATAGAGAGGATGTAATCTAGAAAGACAACGTGTCGAAGGGAGAAGTTGAGAAGAACGAAAAATAGTTCAGTGGCCAATTACTCGAGGAATTTTTACGGACGATTTAGCGACTCTTACCTACGTTCTACACTGGGTTCCCATAATGCTCTCCCTTCGAGAATCAACGAAGAAAGCAGAAAATAAAAGAGTAAGAGAGAGAGACGAGAAAAATTAGCTCCGGTTCACGTGAAAATCTCGTGTCCTGATATTTGCATGTGATCTCTCACACAGGATTTACGGAAGAAAGAATGGGTTTCGCGGAAACTGCAGAAAATCTTAAGAATACTTTGCAGATCGTTCCTTTTCTTTCCCGAGTAGCTGCTTCTTATTATTATCTCCTCGAGATTGGAAAACAAGTAATGCACGTGTACTTACATCGCACAAAGTCGTATTATCCGCGTGCAATTTAAAAATGTTGTTCGAATGACCTCTTAAATCCAACTCTAAAACGACGCGCTGGATTACTACGCGTTAGATATCCACACGCTGGATTACTACGCGTGGATTACGACGCATAAGATTCCTATGCTTAGAATTACCACGCGTTGCATTATTACGCGTTGAATTACTACGCGTTGAATATGCAC